TGGATGGTCCTCTCCGAGCTTTGCTCGCATTGCCTGCGCGGCCTCACGATACAGCTCCTCTGCCTCTTCGAGCTTGCCTCTATTCCTCATGACGACAGCCAGGTTGTTGATGCTGCTGATGGTGCGCGGATGGTCCTCTCCGAGCTTTGCCCGCCTGGCCTGCAAGGCCTCACGAAATAGCTCCTCTGCCTCTTCGAGCTTACCTCTGTCGTGCAGGGTTGAACCCAGGCCGTTGATGCTGCTGATGGTGTGCGGATGGTCCTCTCCGAGCTTTGCCCGCATGGCCTGCAAGGCCTCCCGCCTCAGCTCCTCTGCCTCTTCGAGCTTGCCTCTATCGCTCATGACGACAGACAAGTTGTTGATGCTGCTGATGGTGTCTGGATGGTCCTCTCCCAGCCTCAAGCGCCGGAAGTTCACTGACTGCTGGAAGAGCGACTCGGCCACTTCCAGGTGGCCTCTGCGAGCTTCCACTGCGGCGAGGAGGTTGATGGCTGCCACGGTGTCCACATGGTCTTCGCCCAACTTCTCCCGCCTCGCCGACAGCGCTTTCTGAAGCAACTGGTGTGCTTCTTCGAGCTCGCCGAGGTCATGCAAGACGTTGGCCAAGTCGCACATGCCGCGGAGCGTGTCCAAATGGGATTCGCCGAGCTTGTCCCTCCTAAGCCGCAGAGCCTCCCTAAACACAGTCTCAGCCTCACGCAGACGGCCTGCCCGGCGCCAGGCTTCCGCAAGGCGACAGCTGCTCTGCAGGGTGTCGGGGTGCTCCTCCCCGAGAGCGGCACGGCGGGCTTCCAGGACCGTGCTGTGCAAACCCTCGGCCTCCCTAAACCGACCCGAGTCCAAAAGCACGTCGGCCAGGCCGCTGGAGAGGCGCAAGATCTCGGGCGCAGGCTCCCTGCTCCCTGCGGCTCCCGGCTCCACTCCGTCGACTTCCAGCGCCTGACGGTACAGCACCTCCGCCTCTTGCAGCTGCCCGCGCTTGTGCAGCACCTCTGCTACACCTCTGGTGCAAACCAAACGGTCCGGATGGCCTGCGGCCATGGACTCCAAAGCCTTCAAGAAGAGGCCCTCCGCCTCCTGCCACCGGCCCCCCTCAACCAGCGCCGCGGCCCGTGCCTGCCACCCCCCTGGCACTGCGTCTTCCATGGCCATGGCAATTCTAACAAGCGCTCTCAGCACCTCGCACAGGAAGGCTCCGTCTGAATGGTTCCCTAGTCCCCTTCTGTTTGCGGTACTATGCTGTCGATTGCTGGGCATCACTCTTAAGCCACAGTCACCACTCTTGACAGCCGTACATCAGTCTGTAACGCACTGTATGCAAACTGTGTCTCAGAAGGCTTTTGTGCACAGCCATTCAAGGATTTTGATGCGACACGCTGAGCTTCCATGGCAGCGGCGTTTGAATTGCGAAGCGGAGAGTCTCAGAAGCCTTCAGACAGGCCCAACCCGTGCTCGAGGCCGCAGGCGTGGCATAGACTCATACAGCACGCAACAATGCAAGCACGAATTGGGAGATCTTGCCTGGATAGCTGAGAGAAAGAAAGAGAGAGGTGTGTCGGATGTTGGGAGTCTTCCGTTGAAACGAGAGACATGTGTCTGGGATAAGGCTGTCCCACTATGGAGGCGTGCCGTGGCAGATTCAGGGCAAGGCCGCGGCCTCACGTGCGTCGGCACGCCGCAGTCGTCGGAGGCGGGTTGGTCCTCAGCTCATGGGATCGTGCGCGCAGGCGGCTCGGGCTCTTCCGAAGCCCTTCTGAAAAACTCCTGCACGTGGTCCTACATACGTATACATGAGTGCATGTATCCATCAAGCACTTCCACTCCCAGCTAGGAGTCGACAGGGACTTGAAATGACGAAGGTTTGACATATCGGCTTCGGACGGCTTTAGAATTCAGGGTAGGGAATGGTAGGGACGTGGTTTTGGGTTTTGGAATTTAGGGTTTAGGGTTTTAGGATTCATGGGTCTGGGTCTGCCGACACCCTTAAGTTGCGCCTCCGTCTAAGACAGGGTGACAGGCGCAGCACTTGAACGCTACAAAGATCCATCTCATGCTGCCCCCCTTCCGCATCCCAACCCTTACATCATACATCCCAGCACCCTTTTCAGCTCTAAACCTCAGATTCCTGAACATTAAGCTCTAAACTCCAAACTCGACACCTCAGGCCGCAGGCGTCGCGGAGCAGTCAGACCACTGGGTCTGCGGCCCGGGCTCGCAGTCTTCTCCTAAAGTCGGCCGAGGCTCCTAGAAGTTTGGGGGAGTCTGGGGTTGTAGAGATTCCGGATTTCCGGCTTCGGGCTCGAGGACTCTAGGACTCTAGGATTCAGGGATATGGCTTAGAGCTTAGGGTTAGGCCCGAAAGCCACCAGCTTGAAGCTTGCGAGCCGTGCCCTCATGCACACACGGGCTTTGGCTACAGCAGCACTACTTGAAGCGTTAACAACTATAGAACTATCGTGGACATGGAAGCTTGGCTTGAATTTCTGAACGATTGGTAGTCATGGCTCTCATAGGAACAATGCAGCGATAAGACCAAGTACTAAGAGCTACTGTACTCATCGCCAAAGCCATGACTTGGGCACCATGAAGCGCATGCTAGAATTCAGAACCTGGCTGAGGATGGCTGTGGTTTGCCTAATAGCATCTGCAGTATCACTACAACCTGTCTGCTCCTGCCGTCAGCAAACACTCGAAATGTAGGAAGACAGAATACAGAAACACGATCATGGAAAGCAACACTATCAACAGCATGTAGCATCATGGATGGTCATCTTATCTTCGTCCGCAACTCATAACAGAAAACATGCTAACCGTACAGCACAGGGTAAGAACTTCACAGAAGGAGACGGAAGAAGACACAATAGTCACAACAATAGGAATGTAAAAACAGTCATGCTACAACACTGTAGATACAGCATGCACAAACATGAACATACTAGTACAACCCACCGTGGTGCTCGGTGATAATGTCAACCGAGGTCAGCACAATACTTGTCATGTCAAAGCTGATGGCGCTAATGACGCTGTGGAAACCATAAGCTGTTGGAAGACGACACCCTTGACACCAGCGAACAAAGCTGACACACGGAGAATCAGCAGCCACGGCAATTGTACGTTGCAGTGCACTTTGTATGATTTCGTCAAGAATATGGCTCACCCTAAACCCTAAAACGTTACAAAGCCCAAAACCCTCAAGGGGTCTCAGGGCTGCTAGAATTCAAGCACAAAGTCCTCGAAAAGGATGCTCGCAACCCGCGTCGCCACGAAACCTGGAGGCCGACAAAAACATCTACACACCAAAAGGTCTTCTGGCTGTGATTTAGGGTGCAGGCCGCATGTAGGGTTAGGGTTCCCACAGGATTTAATTTAGTTGCATAGAACATAGAACACTAGGACAGCGCACAAACAGCTTTCGGGTTTGGGAGTTGGGGTTTTGGGCTGGCGGCCTGAAGTTGAGGAGAGGGGATCTGGGAAGCTTTGGGCAGTGAAGTTGGCGGTTTTCATTTCAGGGCTAGTTCCACGTAAGAATTGATCTTCTTCGCTTGTTTTGTGTCTTGGATTGATTGGCCAAAGATTGTAGAGGGCCTTTCGGGTTTGCTTGGGCTTGGTGGTCTGGCGTTTGAGGCTTGGACAAACTTGGCAGTTCGGCATGGAAGGGATTCAGGTCCCGGCCCGGCTGGCGTTACACAGCGAGCTCTGGAGTCTGGAATTTAGGGGTTGCGAGTAGTTGTGTCAAGCTTCTGTATACTGGGGTTCCTGATAAAAACAACTACCAGTATGCTTCTCTCTTGCGCTGCAAATCCAAAGACTGCGCGGTCGCAGCTGCGACTTCGCACTTGTGGAAGCCAAGAACTTCAAAGCCCCAAAGCTTTAAAAACCCCGGGCGGGGCCCCAACCTGGGCCAACCAGCGAAGGCTCTCAGTCAGGTTCACGGCGAACTTGGGGGCTGAAGGTGCCCGGACCTTCGGACTGAATGCCGAAGGGGTTGAGGCCCCAAGAGCTGAGGCATCCGGATCTCTAGAGCTAAGAGCTAAGTCTTTGGGCCCAGGTCTTGGATCTCTGTGGCTTCCGTCTTGAAGGTCTGCCTTTCGTTGGACATATGTAATGTCTCAATGCTCGACTTAGATGCAATCTCAAATTTCAATTCTAAACCCTGACCTAAAGCTCTGATTCTAACCGCGAGGCGGACGAGGCAAAGTGAAGCTGTTGCGAACCCAGAAGGACCAGTGTGCCTTACAGCCTTTGGATTTGACTTGGGACTCAGACTTCTGGGTTCAACCACTTCAGAAGGGGGTTACAACAGCCTGTGCCGTGTGTGCATCACACAATGGCAACCAGGGAACCAGGTGACAGGAAATGGCCTCAAGGATGCTTCAAGATTAGGGTTCGCGGTTTACGGGAGTGTGGTGTTGGGCTGCGCGCCATCTCCCATTCGCGGTCTCTGCGTCCAAGCGGTGCTCATCGAACGCCCTGGCACACGGATCGCTGGCAAGACCAGGATGCGACAAAGAGGTGAAACTGTTCGAGCTCTCTGACTGAGGGATTCTGAGCTGCCAAGTGCGGGAGCACCAAATCTCGTCCTCACGGTGGCCTCTCCTTTGTACGCACAGAGCCGCATGCAGGCATGCAAAGGAAGAGCGGAGCCTCCAAGAGGCACGGGGCCCTGTCGAGGTGATTTAGGCACGCGGCCTTTCTCGCTTGGAGGCTCGACCCTCCGAAATTCTGAATTCTAGCATCGGACATAGCATCACACTGAGCTCCTCGTCCAGACGCCGGGGCACCGTCGTATGTTGCTGTAGTAGCGGTTGTCGCAGTAGTGGCGCTAGCAGTAGTATGGTGGTGGTGGTGATGGTAGCAACAGCAGCAGCAGTGGTAGTAGTAGTGCTAGCAGCAGCAAGGCCACAACCAAAATCGAAAAGCAACAAGTCCCCAAAAGCAAAAAGCAGAGACTAAAAAAACAACTACCACGCCACATGCGCGCTCTTGAAAAAGGACAAGCCTCCCCTTGCGCCTAGATTCCTTTGGTATCCACCGTTTCGGGTTTCAGGCACCCGCCAGCACTTCGGCTGCTGGGAGCGAGTCTCGCGTCTGGGGCAGAGAAGCGCAGACGCATAAATTGTCTCAAAACTGTCACAAAAGGCGCAGGCTAAGCCCACGCCTGTGACTTCGTTTCTACAGGCCAGAGCTTGCGGAGCTTCCTGGGCCTCCCGCGCTGCCAGTGTCGCTGGTGCTGGACTGGCTTCGTAGCTCGGAAGCTCCGGAGATCGCCAAAGCCTGCAGCAGAGCCCAGCTCACGTCGCCCTCCGACGCCACGTCCGACTTCGAGAAGGTCTGTGCGTTAGACTTGGAGAGCTCGTCCGTGCTGGCCAAGCAGACTGGCCGAAGGTCCAAAGCCCTCTCGAACCACTCCTCCAGCCTGCGAGTGTCGGCGACGCCGTCTGCCCCCAGCTGGAAAGGCAACAGGTTCTCCATGGACTCGGCACCCACTCGGGCGCCATCGTCTGCTTCTTCCGTCTTTGCTTCTGTCACCTCAGCCTCAACTGCGGTTTCGTCCCAGAGGTCCGCTTCTTCATGCTTTCCCTGCTCACGGAGGATGAGTGTGAGATCTGAAATGCACCTCCGGGTCTTGGGATGGGCACGGCCAAACTGCTTTTCCAATCCGCTCGCCACACGGCAGAGAAGTGCCTCTGCTTGCTCAAGCAGGTTCTGCTCTGCCAGAAACTTTGCCAAATTAGCACGGCAGTCCAGCAGATGCGGATGGTCCTGGTCGGCGTAACCTGCTGCCATTGATTCGAGGGCATGGTCAAAACGTCGGTGGGCTTCGTCCAGAGACTTTGCTGCGTCCTCGGCGTTCATTGGATCACGGAAGCGCTCTCCAAGTCGGCCACGAAGAGCCAAGACTCCTGCAAGCTTGCTGAAACACAACCACGTCCTCGGATGGTCTTCACCGAGTTTCAGCTGCATGCCCTGCAAGGCTTGGCGATGGAGATCTTCGGCCTCTTGCCACCTGCCTTGCTCTTGCAGACACCTGGCCAGGTTGTGGATAGTGGACAATGTGTTCGGATGGTCCTCTCCGAGCTTTGCCCGCCTAACCTGCAAGGCCTCACTAAGCAGCTTCTTTGCCTCTTCGAACTTACTTCTGTCGTGCAGGA